ATCAAACGATTTTAATCTGGAAATATGATCAAAATAAGAATTCTGTTCAATCATTGATTACTTGCAAAGGTCATCAAGGAACAATTGAAGCATTAGCTCTGCAAAAAACATGTTTTGCGTCGGGTTCATTTGATAAAACCATCAAATTATGGGGTTTAGGTTTGTTGAGACAATCTTTTTCTCTTTTGATTTTCTTCTTTTTCTTTTTAAATAGAAGAACAAGAAGATAAATCAGCAACAAAAGAGTGTCGTGTAACAATCAATGCTCATAGTGAGAATGTTTCATCGATTGGGTGGAGTTCGTCAAATGAACTTGTTTCATGTTCATGGGATCAATCAATTAAATTATGGAATATGGATACATTACAATCAACACAAACCTTCGTATGTTGTTTCATCAATGAAAGTTTCTTTTTCTATCGTTTGTTTTAGAAATGTGGTAAAGCTGCTCTTTCTCTTGATATTTCACCAGTCAATGGTTTATTAATTTGTGGTTTTACTGATCGTTTCATTCGTCTTTATGATACACGTGTTCAAGGTAATTTCAATTTGAAAGATTTTGTTTTCGTTTCAGAATGAAAATTTGATTTTGTAGAGGGATATGTTCTTCGATCAACATTTTCATCTCATAGTCAATGGGTTCCAAATGTGATGTGGTCAAGAACAGCCGAACATCTATTTGTATCTGGTTCATATGATTCATTAGTGAAATTATGGGATACTCGTTCATTAAAAGCACCACTTTATGATTTACAAGGACATGAAGATCGCGTTTTGTGCGTTGATTGGTCAATTAATTCATTGATTCTATCTGGTGGTGCAGATAATTCATTGAAAATGTTTTCATTCAAATAAACAAATCGTTTTTTTTTGTTGTCTTTGAAAATAAATCAAAGAAATGGTTTTCGTAAAGATTTTACATTGAAACTCTTCTTCAACCATTAGAAATTTTGATCATTTCTCTGACTTCATTCGTCAAACAAGATTGTCGACATAGAAATTCGGGGATTAAGTAGAAAATCGAATGATGATTGTGCATATGACTATGTTGTTTTTCTTTGCGATCGAACGAAATGATGTCAAGAAGATATCGTCACAAAAAAAAGTACTTTCAATTGCACCACATTGTACAAACAAACTTTCTCTGTTATTTCTTTATTTTTTCAAGCAAAAATACATTTAAAACAATTATATAAGAGAAGCAAACAGTGAAAAAGCATTTCTCTTTGATTTCTTTTTCTTTATCGAATATTTCGATTCTGACGAATAATTTAATCAAAAAGACGAAGTTCAAAAAATGGATGGATCAACAAAAGAATCTTCTAAACGAAATGCTAGTCGTGTAAATTCAACTGATGAAAATTATGAGAGTGTCATATTCGTTTGGTTTAATCCTCAAGATCAATCAAATGTGAATATAGTTGGACCACTTCGTGCTATTAATCATAATGTCCAAACATTTAATGAATCTTCATCTTGCTTTGAAATGATAAGATCTTCAAATGAGAAGATCTTTTTCATATCATCAGTGAATAATAATCAATTGATCTCTACTGTTCATGATTTTCCTGCTGTTGAAGCCATTTTTATTCTTGATCCCAATGAAGATATGGTGAGAGGAGATTTTCCGAAATTATTTGGTGTATTTCCTCAACAAGAAGAATTACTTCNTGTACAAACATTTAATGAATCTTCATCTTGCTTTGAAATGATAAGATCTTCAAATGAGAAAATCTTTTTTATATCATCAATAAATAATATTCAATTAATTTCTACTGTTCATGATTTTCCTGCTGTTGAAGCCATTTTTATTCTTGATCCCAATGAAGATATGGTGAGAGGAGATTTTCCGAAATTATTTGGTGTATTTCCTCAACAAGAAGAATTACTTCGACTAGTAAAAGAAGTGTTTGATGCTTTCGAACAAGTTCAATTAGAAGAATTCGCGTTTGAACAAGAGAAAATCTTTCTTTGGTCACAATTGTGGAAAGAAGAGGTGAAACATTGATTTCTTCTATTTTCTTATACAAACGATTTTTTTTCTTCTTTAATTCAGTTAATCAGTCGTAAAGTGGCGTCAAACAAAGCTCCTTTCATCGAAATCTGCCGTCAATATTATCGTGATAATACTCGAATTGTTAGTTCGATCGAAGAACTTGAAAAATCCTATCGACTTCCCGAAGTCATCAATTGGTGTTGTCGTTCTCCTTTTCCATCGCGATTTCTTCTTCATGCATTACGTTCACATAACAAATCTCAATTGAATGCATGTCGATTTTTATTATCCGATGCCACGCGTTTCTTTCATCAAAATTTGAAACCAAAATCCAGTGATCAAGTTTATCGTGGTATGAAATTATCCAATGAATTACTCGATCAATTCGAATCACATATTGGTGAACTTGTTTGTACAAGTGGATTTTTTCTTTGTACAAAATTACGAACAAATGCATTGACACTTGCATCATTACCAACTTATCGACCAGATCTTCAATCTGTTTTATTTAAAATCGATTGTGATGCGTCATCTCTATTCACGGAAATATCAAATAAACAAACATCATCATTAATTGTATTTGATCCTTGTATGGCATTTCGCATTGTTTATGTCAATCGAGCAGAAATGTCAGTGATCAAATTGAAGACGGCAGGAGACGCAGGAAAGAAATTTGCTTTGGATTATATGAATAATCATAAAAACACAACAATACCCGAAATACTCGATGAACTTCTTCGACCACCAACACCACCTCCTAAACCACCAACTCCTCCGCCACCTCGTGTACCAACACCACCTCCTCGAGTTTCAACTCCACCGCCACCACCTCGAGAACCAACGCCTCCACAAGAAGGACTAGTTGAAGCGGCGGACATCGCGTAGGAAACCAATAATCAAATGAGATAAAATAGAATTGTTGATTTCAATGTTTTAGGCCTTCGTTTGTGTCTGATGAAGAAATAAAAGCACAAGAATATGCACAAAAAGGAAATGTCGATTTAGCTTTATCGACTTATCAAAGTATTCAACCTACAACAGCTCGTATATTGAATAAAATGGGAGAATTATGTGCTGTGAAAAAAGGTGATTACGATTATGCTTTGTATTGTCATCATCAAGCACTTAAAATGCAGGAAGAAGTAGGAAAATTCCTTTGAAATAATAACAAATGAATTTTTCTTTTCATGATAGTCTGGTGAAGATATTTCGAGTACTCTCATTCATATTGGAAATGCTCATCGTGGTCGTGAGGAATTTCATCTTGCTCTCAATAATTATAATCGTGCACTTGAATTACGTCGAAAGAATCCAAACACGAGTCCAGCAACTCTCGCCGCCAATTTTCTCAGTATTGGTAAAGCACATTGGGGTCGTCGAGAATATCCTCAAGCAATTACAAATACAGAAGAAGCTTTAATAATACAAGAAGGTCTCGTACCTCCAGATGAAATTAATGTTGGTGTAACAATGTCTGTTCTGGGAAATATTTATCGAAATGCTGGTGATAGTGTCCGTGCCTTGGATTTATGTACACGTGCACTCGATATTTTTCGACATAAATTACCGCCATATTCACCTACAACAGCCAATACTTTTTATCAATTGGGAAAAACTCAATCGAGTTTAGGAGCATTGGCTGATGCTCAACAAAGTTTTGAACAATCGAGTAGAATTTATCGAAAAACTCTTCCTCCAGGACATCCAGATCGAATGTCCGTGGATAAAGAACTTCGACGTGTTACACAATTATTAGAACAAAACTAAAACTTTTATTATCAATACGAAATTTATTAAAACAGAAAAACATTCTTTGTCCATCTTTTCCACATAAATCGAATACTTTGTTTTTGTTGAAAGAAGAAGAGTTGATTGACTAAAAGGTTACTTGAACAAGACGATTCGTTTGATGAGAAGGATGATAATCATTGCAGAATTTCAAAATACTCTTAGCTGTTTCTTTGGGTTTATCAAAAAGAATGAGATGACCACAATTTTTCAGCATCACTAATTCAGTATTTGGTATTAAATCAACAAAATAATGTGCACCTTCAACTGCACATAACTAAAAGAGAGAATTCTTTCGAAGATTTTTCTTAGAAATGACTTAAAATACACACTTGATCTTTATCACCCCATATAATCAATGCTGGACATGTCAAATCTTTCAATGGCGCATAAGATTTTTCCAAATTTGGATAATCATTTTCAAAAGCTGATTGAAGAACTTGAAAATAAAATTTGAAATCATTTCTTTTTTTCATTAGAAGTAAAACAGATTTGAATTACTTTTCTTATGTTGATCAATCGNATTTTTCTTAGAAATGACTTAAAATACACACTTGATCTTTATCACCCCATATAATCAATGCTGGACATGTCAAATCTTTCAATGGCGCATAAGATTTTTCCAAATTTGGATAATCATTTTCAAAAGCTGATTGAAGAACTTGAAAATAAAATTTGAAATCATTTCTTTTTTTCATTAGAAGTAAAACAGATTTGAATTACTTTTCTTATGTTGATCAATCGCTGATAATTTTGTTTTTAGATATTGACTGGCTAATAAATGACGACAATGAATCTTTTTCATTGCAAATGTATCAGCTGTCGTATAGAATTGTTCATGTGTTCTGGGTAAAATGATATCATACATTCCTGAACGTATTTGTCGTATTGCATCGGTTTCACAATATCCTCCGGCTATAAAAGATGTTGAAAATAAATTGAAAAACCTCAAACTCAATTCATTTTCTTACGAGGAACAGGTGCGAGTAAACAAATCATTTGGACATATGAAGGATATTTCGCAGCAAACATTGCAACAATTGAACCGCCCATTGAAGTTCCGATTAAACACGTCGGTCGAGTCAAACCCAACGCATCAAAGAACTAATCATGTAAAAATAGTTTCAATGAAAAATTTCAAGAAAAATTACCAATTTCAGTTTATCAATAACACGATCAGCTTTCAAATCTTCTAAAGAAAATCCAACTGTTTCTCCATGACCAGGCATATCAATTGCGATACAATGGAAATTATGAGGAATATTCTATTCTTACAGTTTTTATCAAATTTACGGAAATAAAAATTGGAGATAAATTTACTTTGATTGTATTTAACCAAGTATTTTTATCAGATGAAAATCCATGAATAAATATTAAACTTGTTCGATTTCCAGTTTGTGTTTCTTTTTCATAATAACAAAATCTCTCTGATTTACCATCATTCACATTTTCAATTGTTAAATAATGTTTTTTAACACCAGCTCGATGTGTATTTATCCTATACACAAAAAAGCAGTCATTTTTCTTAAGACAGTAAATAATATTTACTTATTATATCGTTTGATCAATCTCTTTGGCCTTCAGAAATAAAAAATAAAGATTTATTTATAGAAATCTTCTTTCAAACAACTTACATTTTGGAATATTTCGAGTTAATATCTCTATATTATGCCAGTGTATGTACTTTTCTTTATACTGAGTGCAAAACCGTTATTCGTATGTACACGATATATGATACTTGTAGGAGAGCAACACAAACTTCAAGGTGAAATATTTGTACAGTTCGTGTGAGAACTCGGCAGTAAAGTATACAAAGCAAAGGTAAAATACGTTCGTTACATAAAGATATTTCTATATATATAAATAAACGAATGACTCAGTTTTATGCATGATCTATTTTGAAACAATGATCAGAGGGCGGTTTGTAGATAGATTGACGTACTTGAAGTATTTGTTATGAGGTAGAAAATATCACGTAAATCCTTGATCAAATCAGATAAGTTACACAAAAATGTCAACGAATATCATTTTTAGCGTACTCAGAAAGTGATTATACTAGTAGGATCGATCAGTACGCTCGGCCATCTATTTTTACACGATGAATTTTCAAAGAAAATGTTTTCTAATACAATATGTCCGAAAAAGTCACAAAATGCTGAAAACAGAAAGCAAGTTTTGTAGATGTGTCTCACAGTTTTTCAAAACGTGACAGAATAGTTTGTCAAAGTGATGATCAAATGGTAAAAACACGATTCTCAAAGTTATCGATATCGTTGATTTATTATGTAGACATTGACGTGTGGGTTTTGACCACATACTTACAAATTTATAATTACAAGTTCACTAAGAAACACAAAGATACATCAAATAAAAGTCATTCGAAATCGTGCACATCGAGAACATTTCTACAAAAATTTCGAGTCTGAATGTCAAGTGAAAACTGAGAATATATTCATTATTAATCAGGAAAATCTTTGTTTGTCTATCTTCTTAAATTACAAATTAAATATTTCCACAAGATTTTCTTTTTTCTTTTCATAGAAATTAAAGATTTTCTCATTGAGATGAAGTTTCTATTGTGAAAATAATCGACATGTTACGAGGAAAATTGACTAAAATCTTATTTGGTTTTAAGTTATTGATATTAGTCTGGCCGATATCAATGATAATCTTAAGTATTCGATATCGAAATCAATGTGTAATACAACCTCAATTATCTTATTATCTTTTGCTTTATGGTTTCCTTTGGATATGTGTTTTTCTTTTAAATATAATGCACTTTTATTATTTTCATCAATATCTTAATCGAATCATAAAAATCTTTTGGTTAATTCTACTTTTATCAATCATTCCTGGTTATATTTTCATATTTAAAATTCGTAATATAACTAAATCCTATAATCTCTATCCAAATGAAATCTGTCACCGAAATTTCTATTTTTATTCATCAATATTAATTCTTCTTGTTCATATTCCCCTGTATATTTATATATGGTTATCAATGATATTCATTAATTCATTCCACACTCAACGAAGATCAGTTAGAATATTCACAATAACACCGATCAGATGTTAAGAATTATCAACGATAATATTCAGTTAACACTCTCAAAACAACAATTTATGTGGGAAGAATTTTCATTAAGAGATAAATGGTGAAAATAGCAATCGATCAAGCAACGAATGGGATGCAGGAGACATTTAGTTAATTTGGAAGAAAAAATTCGGCATAAAGACAAAAGAGCTTCTGAAACTTTTTAAAGATAATGAGAATCATAGGATTGTTCCTTAAGCAGATGACGAAAGAGATGAGGTATTGTTAGATGCGGTGCCAAGATTTTCACTTCGAGGGAGCTCAGACGATTTCTGAGGGAACTGCGCCTCCGCCAGTCCCCCTTGGCACTGCCACTAGTACGAGTAATTCATTGGAAATGATTGTCTCTGATAAGAAACCGACGGTCGTGCCATCAATAAAAAAAACGTTCCTCTGACACAATCTCTTGTTATATAATTCGATTCAGAGTGCCAATCGTAACACTCATCATAGACATCTTCATTCTTTATCTTTCATTACTCATTAGTATTGCCTTTTCGCTTGGTACCTGTCCAATCGGCTATAATAAATTTGCTTAGACTTTGGTACAATGCGTTTTCAAGGATTTCGGCAAGAGTGGTCTGTACAATTATACTAAGATCCGAGCACTACATCGAATCATATTTCGCATGAAATCACTGATATTCGATCGATTTTCACTGAAGAGTATATTTCCAGAGAAAGTTGTTGTTGCTTGGAGCAAAGAGAAGACGCGTTCATTCGATGACAATAAACATGCAATTCGATGTTCATCGGCTAAAAATGTGAGTAAACAGCAGACACTGATATTTATCAATTTCAAACGAAGTTCTCTCACTTCATCGAAAGCTGGTGTAGTTAGTTGTTCAATAGTCGCGGAAATGGAAACAATCCTCCTTCCACTAATTCGACGACATTCTAGAGCTAACTCGGATAGTTGATCTCTTCTCATTGTAATGATCGTCATGACAATTAACATGAATTAGTTGAGCCAATTCGACTGACAATGATCTAAATGCCGATCGAGTCGTAACACTAATTAATCGACAAAATGGTCTTTCAAGAGCTGTCGATGGGCTTGCGGACACCAACTAACTATCGGTGAATCGTGCTGCCAGAGTGAAAGTTGAATCGATATTGCCACACTTTCTTCACCAAAGGATATCATCATTGTAACCAATGATCTAATCGAAGGGAACCAACTTCAACGAATTGTGCTGGTTTGAGTTTTGATGACCAACGAGATATTTGGGCAATGACATGATTCTGGAGGAATTCGGTACTCCCGAGAATGAATTGTAAGTGTGTTTATAATTTGGATAGTCAAGTTGTGGTGTCAAGAAGTGTTTTTCATCGTCAAACTTCGTCGGCTGGATTGATGAGATTCCAACTTTGAAACCATTCTCCGAACAGAAATCTTCCACGGATGTCAATGCAATTGATGGACAAGAATAATGACTGTGACATAGACTTTGCGGGAGATACTAACCTGACTCTGCAATCATATGGAATAGCATCGAACGATCTTAGTTTGGTGACATGATGTGGAATAGACAATCAATCGTAAAAGTCAAACTTAGGGTTTGAATTCGGGCGATTAATAAATTGCCAGAAATAACCGCTAATTACTCCTTCTTTACTCGATGGCACGGATGCTCATAGATTTTCACTGTTAGTTTATTCGCTTTTTGTTGAAGTTCGTAACGAAGACGCTTTGATTTCTCCTTCTTTCTCGTTTCACATGAACACGACCTACTGGGTATTGTTCCCATCAGCGTTGTATATGTTTTCTTCGCTTTGCACTTCGATCGTTTTTATTTCGTGCTTGTCGATTTCTGCCTGTTTTCTAATTGCCTGTAAAGTCGTCTGCATTATCGATGATTGAGCCGCATAGTGCACACCGAATGCATCGGCGGAATTGATATCTGTTAAAAGATCAGAATACACATTTTTTCCAGGTTGTCGGAAATAGTTAGAGAGATCGAAGATTCGGATGAGGTTATCACGATCAGGTAGGACCAAGAGTTCCAAAGTTTGCATAAGATTGTGAATATGACTAGACTGAAGATAATCAACGATAGTATTGGTTGATCGGCATTGTTTTCGCTCACGGATGGATATGAATCATTTCGATCAAAACAAACTATACTAGTGCCGGACGTGTATTCTGTTTTAAGTACTTTCGGTACATAAGGAACGCGCAACAATATATATACATATACGCATCTGTATTCGACGTTCAGAATCGCCGTCTTTTTTTGTCGTATCATCATGATCGATTACAATACCTCGTTTATCTTAAGGCCCAATAAAGTGATTCACGCGTAATTTTCTTCTTCTAGAATATCTATGAACAAATTATAAAGAAAGTTCAAGATTTCAACTATACATCTCGACCCGAAGAGTCATCATGCTTGTGATGTTGGAGTTATTCATTTTGTGCGTCAGCGTAGTACGATCCTTGACGCCGAAATACTATTCAGTACAAGTTTCTCGCCAACGAGAACTCCATACGGATACTCGCAATCTTTTCGGCATTCTTGATAGAAGCCCTCTCTCTATTAGTGCAACGATTTTGATGTCTGTGTCTTTCAAAAAGAGCAAAAACGATCCATTTATTTGATCTATGTCAAATATGAAAGTAATTGTGGGAGAGATATGAATTAACTTCAAACATTTAAGGAATCGATTTCAAATTCACTCGAACTTGAAAGTTTACAATCTAAGCTTTGGATATAAATAGAACAATTTGTTCAAAGTGTGGATCGTATGGATGTCACTTCTCCAGCTGATGATTCTTTACTTGTTGTTAATTCAGCCTGTATGGTCTTAGGAAATTATTGGAGCAAAAAAGTTTGCCATTTCCAATATTCATCACTCGTTCGAAGTTAGTCGAATGAGTAAGAACGCTCGGTGAGTCAAAAGACGTACTGGGATGAATGATCGGAATTTGACTGAAGTATTTTCTTCTTGTTCATTACTTTCAATGGATTTATTGAAAATTTTCACTGATATTTCATTTGTCTAGTCTAAGAAAGAGTCCTCTCGGTTTGAGTTATAATCCTCGTTGACTTGATGAGATTTATTAAAACAGAACAAAACAATGACAATAAAATAGTTAATGATTTCCATTAGTAAAAGAAGATAGTTGTTGTCTGATTGCATTTGTAAGAAGAGCAATCGCTTGATCTATTTCATCATCAGTTGTCATATAAGAAGTACTCAATCGAATTGTACCACGTGCTAATTCCCATGATAAACCTTTGAATAAAAGAGAATTATTCATATTAAAGATAATAACGAATAGAAGAGAAATCGTACCAATCGCTTGAAGTGTTGTTGACATTGATTGATGTTTTGTATCTTCATGACAAGCACTACCAGTTGAAAAAGCTAATCGATCATTCAATTGCTGAACTAATTGTTTGGCGTTAATTCCACGAAAAGATAAATTCAATGTATTTGGTAAAGAATAAACTTCGTGTGTATTTCGATGAATAAAATCTTCATTAAATTGTTGAATTAATCCTTGATAAAGCCGGTCACGTGTTCTCTTCATTTGTTCAATTCTTTTATTCAACCAAGTTTTATCATTGTTGCCTAATTTGAATTATATTATAAATGGACCGCTAACAGGCTACTATCAATTCGAATATGAATGAAAAGCGAGGGTGTAGTTATGACTAAAAGTATTCCTATCTATTCCTAGTTCCTAGGAAAGGCTTAGTGTTACAGGAATTGGGCACTTATATTGTAAGTGGAATTAGACAACTCATGTTAATTTTTAAAGAGTTTCACGAGAAAAGCTTTATTAGCTAAACAAATGAAAAGAATGTTTTTGAAGAAACAACCTAATCGGTTGTTGATTGTTCTGGTACCACTAATATTTGGCTTCTTCTATAATAAATCCGAAATATAATATGAACAATAAACGAAATCACGACACTTAATGTAATATCTAAACCTCCATAGTACTGTAATATAGTTCTTAATAGAACGAGTATATTGAAACTCTGTGTAAATGAATAAGTACAATGTGTTGCACGACATTTTTCAGAATAATTTTGATATGATTCTTTAAAATGCCATTCGTCAACAAATAGTCGATCAACCATTTGTTGAATAGTTTCATTTAGAAGATATTTACGTTCTGACTGATCACCACTGGGCATTAACTCTGCTGAAATATCCGGCATGATCGAATTATAGCAACTCTTATTATAAAAACATTGTAATGACGATTGCAGCATAGTTTCCACTGGATAACAACCAATAAATAAGCCTTCGACAATTTTATGATCAATTATCATTGGTTCAGAACACTGTAATGAAGTTGCACATGTACATGACTGATTATTATATGATATTGGCTTTGTATACATTATTACTGTGTTATTCTTGAAACCAGAACCGATATATTTCCAGTTTGTTTGAAGAGCTGATATGAATGTATTTCCATGAAGAATTTCACGATTCATGTCAAATATTTCTTTAAATTTTTGTGCCGTTGATCGTTTAAATGAACTAACAGTTTTGTTGACTTTATTTTGAAATAAGTCCATAGAATTCAATTCGTTGCTAATCCATGTTGTTGAATGAAATTGTTTTAGATTTAGATCAACCATCTTCGCAGTTAATTGGCATACGGATGCAAGGAAATGGAATTGTATTGGCAGCATTGCATATGCATAGGAATCATGGTCATTTGCCATTTTTTTACCGTATAATGAATCGATCCAATCTTCATCTACTAAATATGACGAACAAACTTCACTATATATGGGCATAAGATTAATAAATTCTTTGTGTTTTATCGATACTTCATTGCATGCACAACTTAAACTGTGTCGATATCTCGAATGTAACTCTTTATATTGTGTTAAATTTGTTAGTTGAATTGTATTAGTAATAGTTTTCTTGTTTAATGACGTATAAAAAACTAAAATAACTAAAATAGTAATGAAAGTGATCAAGTACACACGTGTACTGATGATTTGTTGTCGTATTATATGAAGATTATTTGATTGATTACGAAATAAATTTAGTTGATGTAATTTCCTTAAACATATTCGTAAAGTGATGCGTATTTCATGAAATATGCCTAAACAACAGAATAAAGATAAGTCGTTTTTTCATCGTCCTCGGACAAATATTCGTACTTTCTTGTCGTTGTCTCCGCTTTCTTCGAATAAAAGAAACAATGTTTGGAATTAAGAATCTTAGGATGATTGTTAATCCGCCATATACATTAATTAAGACGGTTAATACATGGATAAATTGTGATCGCTGTTGGATTTTATATGAACAAAACGATGATTGGCAAGAATTATAGTATTTATCATAAAAATGAAATTCATTCCAATTTTCAACAAATAGATCTCTAACCAGTGTTGCAATATCATCTTTTGTCTGATAAAGACTTGTTTCTGATTCATTCAGCGGCTGTATTTGTTCATAAAGTTTTGTTTCGTTTTTCAAATAATACCTGATTAGATCTACACAATCTTGATCATAGAAACATTCTGTTGTCGAATATAATAA